GCAGCAGTCCAGATGCCGGCTGTGACAGAAAAGGACGCTGGGCAGGGTGGCCACTGATGTGACTCTCCGGAGAGGACCGGGGAGCCTGACCCAGATCAGCACCCCCAAGAACAGGGAGAAGGGGGCAATCGGAGAGACACAGGTAGTGAGGATCTACGGGACGTGGTAGGGCGGATGTCATTCCCAGTAAAGTGCGACCTGCAGGGACTGAGGGGAGAGGGTGGTGGGCTCCAGGGAAGCTGGGGGACTTCCAGTGACTCTTCCTCTGGGCTCAGCAGGCAGAGAGGACGGGCCTGAGGCCCACAGTTGTACGGGGCACCAAGGTGGGGAGAGAGCAGAGCATGGACGGCACTGACCGGGAGGCCCCGCAGGCCAGGCGGTGGGGAGGGAGCGCAGGGACGGAACCTTGTCACGGTGATTGTCAAGAAGAGCCCAGGGCTCCGCCAGGACACGGAGAAGGGCAAAGAGGGACTTTCTTTGCCATCGCTCCGTCCCCACGTCCCCATGACACTGCACAGACTCCGTCCCCATGGGTCTGCTGAAGACAGAAGCAGGTCCTCTGTAGCCCAGACCTCCGGCCCAGTGTGGCAGGAGTTGGCCGCCCGGCCACCGGCCCCTCCCCGGCCAGCTGTGTGTGGCTGGCCTGTGTGAGCTGAGCTGCAGCCCTCAAAGAAACCACGGAGGAGCTGCATGCTGTAAAGGAAAAACACGAGCTGCCGGCATAAGGAACACATTAAGACGGGCCTGAGGAGGAGACGTCCTCCTCCTTCCACGCACATTATCCTTGTGAGAGACACACGCACATACACGCGCACACATGCGTGCACACACACGCCCTGTTCAACTCTGTCTCCCACTTCCCACCACCCCAGGAAACATAGGACTCAAAATGTCTCGGTCAGGGCACACATGTGTTTTCTGGCTTAAAATTCCTGGGAGCTGCTCCCTGTGGGAAGAAAGTGGAAACCCTGGGGCTCCTGTGGATGCTGTGGACGCAGACAGCGGGGGGTTCCCGCTCCCTGGCAGGCCCGGGGGAGCGCAGGCCAGAGGTGCCTCTCACTGCCGCGACACTGGCTCCAGACAGAAGCCAGGGAAGGTGTGCACCCCACTGGCGCCAGCCCTGGGCCGACCCACGGTCTCGGCCGCCAGGGTGCCCAGCTGCCCTGTGCCGGCTGCCGCCCGTGGAGGGTCTGGCCAGGCTCGCAGTGCTGGGTGGACCAGGCTGTCTGTGGTTGGCTGGCCTGAAGTAATGACTTTCACATGCACTGTGGGTTAGGCAGAGCCTGGAAGGGACGGGTGGGAGGCAGAGCAGGAGGCTGTGCTTCTCCAGAGCCCAGCCAGCAGCCTTGATGTCCTCCGTGGGCTGCCAGCCCTCCCTGGGCCCTGACCCCGTGATTCATAGGTTTGCTGCTTCCCCGGGCAGCCGCTCCCTGGGCTGGACGTGTGGCCAGCCGGGTGGAGGCGCTGGGCAGCTGTGGGCCCAGACGGGGGTTGAGCGAGTGCTGCAGACGGGAGGAGCTGCACCCACTCAGGGGCGGAGAGGCTGCAGGAGGGAGCAGGGTGTTCCCGGGCTCGCAGCGCCCCCTAGCACCGGCCAGCGGGATAAGGCTGGGGAGCTCTAAGGCCAGGAGCCTCCACCGGCCCAGCTGCGCATGGGTCAGCACGCTGGTTATCAGGCCCTGCCAGCCCGCACTTAACTCCTGCAACCAGCTCTCGGTTACTGTCCCCAGGGCTCACAGTGCAGAGAGAGAAGCAGCCAGGCAAGCAAGCCCAGCAGTCCCATCAGTGTGGTACAGGAAGGAGGTGCAAGTGCGGGGGAGACATGGGAAGGCGTCTGAGGCTTCCTGGAGAAGGCCACATCTGGGGTGAGCTCTGCAGCACCTGCCAGAGTCAGAGAGTTTTGGCGCCAAGCAGCCATGCTCTGGCCTCCTACTGCACACCGTCCCAGAGGCCCACAGACAGGAGCAGTGACCGAACCGGCTCTGCAGAAACAAGCTCACTCGGCCCTCCTGCACGGTGGCCATCGCAGGCTCCCCGAGCGGCTCCGTCTCCCGCCTGGAGTCTCTGGGAGGGTGAGCCTGCACACCACGGGGTTCCACTTGGGTTCCACAAACAGGGGAACACCGGAGGCCCGGATGGGGGCTGGGACCAGGAGCCGTTTCCTGGGGGCTCGGTGCCCGACTTTGTACCTTGCCCTCTCGAGCCTTTGTCCCCAGAAAGACAGACTTCACGAGCCTCTCTGAGGATGTGCGTGTCTTCAGAAGGTGTCAACAGTAATTTAGAATGGAGCGAACAAACACGGAGGTGACGAAGCTCAGAGGAGCACAGCCTGGTGGTCCCGAGGAGCTCGCAGGGTCCTGTGATCACCACACAACCCCAGGATGATTTAGCCAGCACCGGTGGGCGCTCTCCCTGGGCTGGATGCCTCAGCCTACGAGGCAGATTTGTCTGTGGATCTGAAAGGCAGGGTCGGAGTACCCAGGAGTGGCAGGACTGCAGTCACACATCACTGCTGGCAGGCCCAAGCCCCCGGTGTGAAGGAGACAGCCGGACAAGGAACCACGGCTGCAGCGCGCTCTTGGCTCTGCCACCAGCTGACTGTGACCTCAGCAGCTTCCCTCTCCTGTCCAGCCCTATGTTCCTTTCCTAGAAAACTGGTGGGTCGTCCCTGAGGTCCTTGTCATGACCCCTCTGTGTCTGAGGAAACAGCACACTGCAACCTGACACCGAGGTGGACAGGGCTGTACCGTTCCTAGGCAAGGCCCAGCAGAGGGGACAACAGGTCGCCCTGGGGCTGAGGACTGGACAGGTGAACACGGAGACCCCTGGAGTCGGCCCCAGACTTAGGCATTTACACGCTCTCAGCGGTCAGGAGCAAGCAGGAGAGCTGCGTCTCCCTTCCTAGCACTGGCACCAGATCAGTGCAAGAGGACTCCAGGGAGCCCTTCTTGTCTCTGAGGAGGCTGTGGCCGTTGTCCTGTCCAAGTGAACGGCCACAAGGCCTTCCTGCTGCAGGGACCTGCAGGAAGCCTCTTAGAGCTCTCCGGTCCTCAGGCCGAGGCTGAGCTGGCCTCGAAGGTGGGCAGAGGGGAGCCTCTCAGTGCAGGCACAGGGAGAACTTAGCGACTAAAAGGCTCTTGGCTTCTCTGACCCCCACAGGCTGCATGGACCGGCCTGGGAGCGGCAGCGAGGGGACATAAACCGAAGGCACTCCTGCGCCTCTCAGCTGGGGCAAGACTCAGGTGGCACTGGCACTTGCGCAGGGGAACCCGCAGCCGGTGCCAGCAGAAGTCCTGGCCTGACGCTCAGGGTCCAGGCAAGGCTTCTCCTTGGGGACACACTGGCCCTAGACAAAACTGCAGTGGGGGGAGAGAGCGTACCCATGTGTAAGGTGCTTATCCAAAGTGGATTTGGCCTGGAAAGGCGCTAAAGCCTTCCACATGACCAGTGCCACGCGAGTTTCCACCCCTGTCAAATCCCACCAACTATGTCCTCGTTCAGCCTGGTTCCTGGGGTGGCCCCACGATACCCATCATAGGCACTGCAGCTGCCACCGGGCATACCCACGTCCGAGGCTCCTGGGGCCCACTTTTGTGCTCAGAGGGCTAAAAAGCAGCTAGCCAACTATCCCAGATCTCAAAGTGTTGGCAGGATGGCTGGGGGTGTAATGCACCCAGACCCAGGGACAGTGGTGGGCAAACATCAGAGGGAAGTGGCCCGAGGGGAGGCCGTCAGCCGTGTGAGGGGCACAGGGCCTGGCGCTGGGTGGGGGCGGCCCAGACGCAGAGCTGCCTTCCCTCTGCGGTGATGCACAGCGGCCGGGGAAAGAGGAAGTGCCGACAAAGTCCTTCAGATCCCACAGCCCACATTTTCCACTTCTGCCTCCCCACCGGCACTCATCGGAGGGTGAGCGAGGGGCTTCTCCAGCCACGCCCTGCACAGGAAGAGGAGGGGAGACCGGAGGAGGAGAGGAGCCCCGGCTGCAGGCGGGCGCTTGCGGTTGGGCTTCCCTGCTGCCCAAGTCAGGGGTCAGAAGTGCTCCCCGCAGGACTCGAGAGTCGCGGAAGGAGCTGCACAGCTGGCCCTTGAGCCGGCGTGGAGGGTCCTCCTGAGACATGAGGAGGGGGTGAGGCACCTGCCTTCGAAGAGCCGTTCCCCGAGAAGGGCAGTACTCCGAGGACTTACTGGCCACCACCTGCCACCTGTGTGTGGCCCTTGGTGGCCCCCGGGCCTGTCTTACTCCAGTTTGGGGTCAGCTCCCCACCAAGTCCTGGCTGAAGGGTGTAAACCAGCCCTCTCCATTCTCCCCAACCCCTGTCTTCACACCTGCCGGAGTTCTCTGGGTCACCTCTCAGCCAGCGACACCCGCAGAGCCATGGCTTCTTGTTCCAGGGCACACACACCTGCTTCGGTCATTTCCAACCCATGACTCTGCTTTTGGTTTCCCACGGCCCTGACACCCGAGGAAGCTGCCCTGTGCACGTGTAGATCTCCACACAGGAGGCTTGCTTAGTCCTGCTCACAGGACTGCTCCTGAATAAAGAGCAGTGTTTGTTGAATGAATTCACTACCGCATCGGCTCCAGAGGAGCTCAGGTAAAGATATCTGTCACAGCCAACTGCAAAGGGCAGATGGCTCCAAGCGCGGGAGAGAGGAGGGACGAAGGAGGGAGGGAAAGAGGGAGAGACCATCCCCTCTCGGCCATCTGGGAAAGCGGGGCCTCATTCCGCCTCTGCACGTGGTCGAGGTCCGGGTGCGGCTGCGGGGCGTGGTGCAGCCCGGGACCCGTCCCCAACCCCAGCGCCCCAGCCCACCCGCGCCCAAGCCGCGCGATTCCCTATAAGGCTCGGAACTGCGGCGCCCGGCCCCGCCCCTGCCCGACCCCGCCCCCTTTTTGGAGGACGATGAGGTAATGCGGCGCTACCATTGGTCGCGGGGCTCTAGGGGCGGCGCTTCGGACGGCCCCCCTGCTCTATATAAGCCGGGGCCGCGGCGCCGAGGGGCAGTGGCGCTGGTGGACCGCTTCTCCTCGCGCCTTTCCCGCTCCTCTCCGGCGCAGTCCCGGCTCCAGCCCGGCTTTTCCGGAGCCCACCGCCCTCCCCTCCGTCCAGGGGTCCCGTGCACCCCTGCAGCGGCTTCGCAGGCCCGGCCAAAGCACCTCAGGACGAGGAGCAACAGCGCGGTCCGCGGGCGATGGCTCCCTGGCTCGGGCTGGTCGTGCTGCTGGGTAGCTGGAGCCTGGGGCCCTGGGGCGCCGAGGCGTGCACGTGCTCGCCCAGCCACCCCCAGGACGCCTTCTGCAACTCCGACATCGGTGAGTGCCCGGCCGCGTCCCGAGTCCCTGTCGGGGCCGCCTTTGCAGGAGCTGCAGCCCTGCGCGGAGCTGCGGGACTCGGGGTCCTGGGGTCGCCTTCTCCTGCGCCGGAGCCGCGCAGGCGGGACACAGCGGCGCTCCGAACTTGGGTTCAGTGGGTCTGGGTGGTTGAGGGGACCGGAGTTGTGGGTGACCGTGTCCCCACTCCCTGGGAGGATCCCCTCTGAGCACAGTGCAGCTCCGGGGGCAAGGACCCCTGAGCCCAGGGCTGCGACACTCACTGAGGGCTTGATGTGTGTGTGCAGGGTGAGCGGGGGAGGTAGATTTGTTCCCTTAAGATCAAAGATGACAAGGGTCACGCTGCGGTGACAGCCCCCAGCTGGACTTTGTGTGCTGATGAGGGACGGCATGTCCCAGCAGGACGTGTTCTGGAGTGTTGGGGTCACTTGTGTTTGGAGGGCTGGAGCTGTGTGGGTCAGCTGGAAGCACTGCTGTGCTCCTGTCCAGCTCACGAAGTGTGTGTCCGGTGTCCTTGATCTGTGTGGCGTGTTATCCCATGTCTCTGCTGTGTGTGTCGCAGCTGGTGGGGCGCACGGTCCTGTGTCGCTGCTGTGTGCACACCAGGCAGTTCTGTGTCCCTCCTGTGTGGGACGCACGATCCCACGTCCCTGCTGTGGATGGCGTGCTGTCCTGTGTCCCTGCCGTGTGCATGCCAGGTGGCCCCGTGTCCCTGCGTGTGGGGTGCTGTCCCGAGACCCTGGTGTGTGCTCAGGGTGGTGGGTGGGACGCTGTGGCGTCCCCAGCGCCTCTGTGCTTCTGGAGGTGAAGAATGGAGCGAGTGTCTGAAGGCAGCTGTGAGGGGGAAGGAGATTTTCCCAGTCTCTGAGGGACTCTGCCGTGTACGTGGTGGGGGCGGTGGGGACAGTGGCTGGGGCTGGGAGGGGCGTGGCCCTGGGGTCGCTGTAGGGGCCCAGTTGGTGCAGCTGGCAGTGGAGGTTGTTTGTGTGGCTAGGTCACCCTCGATGGTGAGGCTCCTGGGACCGCAGCCACACCCTCCCCTTGTGGGGACCCGTGGCCTGGGCAGGCAGAGCTTGCCAGGACCCTTCGGCCGCGAGCAGGCCTCGGAGGTTTTCTCCCTTCCCCTCCGAGCGCCAGCACCCCCCTTGGCTCACTCAGTCACCACAGGCGGTGACGGTGCTGCTTAGTTCTGGTTCTGCTCCGTGAGTGCAGCCGGCCGGAGGCAGCAGGTGGGCTCAGAGCCACAGCCTGTTGTGCTCCAGCCTGGGCCGGGTGTGCACAGCTGGGCTTTGGGGCCTCACCCACTTGCTCTTGCTTTGGGAACTCCAGTGTGGACGTTTGGGGCACAGTGGGAACCGGAGGCTGCGGACCCTGCCTCCCGGGCTCCCGCGCTGGCCGCCTGCTCACTTCGCACTTTCTGTGCCCGCTGCGGGCCGGGCCGGGCCGGGCTGGTGCCGTGGCCGCTCCTCGTTTCCCTGCCTGTGTTCCAGGCCCGGCTCTTCCTCCCCCCATCAAGTTCCTGGAGGAAAGTCCTGCAGCCCCAGGACGGTGTAGCAGCAAAGATCAGCGAGGAAGCGCTTGGATGTGGTGGCGCAGGTCCAAACTTGCTGGCTTGGGCTTGGTGCGCGGCCCTGGAGGCCGGATGAGCTCATGCTTTTAAAAATGGGAGGTGCGGGTGTGGGCGCGGGCTTGTTGACCTCCCGCTGCCGCCCCAGCACTCTGCTGGCCAGTAGGTGGCTCCCGACTGGCCCGCTCAGGCCTCTGGTTTGGGCTGAGTGGAGGTCTGCTGGTTAAGGCAACGTGCCAGGGAGGTGCCCGTGCCCCGGAGCCCTGCCCCCCAGAGCAAGTCCAGCTTTCCCTTCCAGACGTTTCCTAGCAGCCCCTCCTGCAGGCCAGCGCCCTGCTGCCAGGGAAAGGCTTGTGGACCCGCCCTGGCCCCTGCGGGGCTCCTCACCCACAGGTGTCCCCTTTTCCTGTCTTCCGGAGCCCCAGGCCAGGAGGAGTTAAAGGGGTTTCCATGGCAACTCCGGCCCTGTACCCCCGAAGTGTTTGGGAGAAGAATAAACTACACGCCGGCATATCAAACGCACGGTGGGGCAGACTGGGGACTTGGCAGCAGCCACTACGTCTGTATCCCTTCCCGGGCCCTCACTGCCTCCGGACCCCCTGACAAAGCCTGACTCTGGGGCGGCCGGCGGGGGCTGGGAATGCAGGAGGCGCCTTGGCTGGGCAGAGCCTGCCCTGGCAGTGCCCAGCTGGGGAAGGGGGGCAGTGCCAAGGGCTTCCTGAAAGTTGTGTGTGTGTGTGTGTGTGTGTGTGTGTGTGCTCGTGTGCATGTGTGGCTTTGCAGAGGTGGGGGCGGCAGAGAAGAGTCTGGCTGCAGAGCTGAGCTCTCTTGCAAGGAGCAGTGCCGGGGGCTCCGGGTGGGGCCCGTGCCAGCCCTGGGGATCAGCCCTGGGCGTCTTGAGCTGTTCTAACAGGGCCTATTGCCAGCAGATTCCTTCAGTATCAGATCGGGACTTGCGGTTTTAGCAAAGAAGCCATTTTCAGGGAAACCAGACCCCCTCTGTCACTCTCACGGTTATGCCCCAGCCCTGGGCTTGGTGGCCAGAGGAAAGAGGAGGGTCAGACTGGAGAGGAGCCCACCACCTGGTGGGGTTTGGGGGATGCAGGGAGCCCTGGAAAGAGGGGCTGTGACCAGGCTGGGGGAAAGGACTGCTTCTCCTAGGTGCTCTCTCCCATCTGCTCGGCCTGCACCCATTTTTCAGATAGAAACTGCTAAAGCAGAGAAAGGATCTGCATGCCAGGGCCGCCGCGATGCTAGGTGGTAAGGCTGATACCAGACTTGGCTATGCCACTGCTCAGAAACTTTCACCTTTCACTGATCTTTGATCATCCAAGGCAGGCAAGCATTCTAGGACTGAGGTGGTCCGGGGTAGTTGGTATTGGAAGAATGCTTTACTTCTGGGTTTGGGGCACTTTTCCTCAAAAATCTGAAGGCAGCCAAAACAGCCAGGGGTTTTAATGAAACAACATCTTTTGGAAGAGGAAATTATTATTATTTTTATACTTTATAAGAAGAACAAGTGGGATACTCTAGTTGTTCTTGGGCTGCTAGAGCCAGAAGAGACCCCATAACCATTCAGCCTGGTGCAAACGTTGACTGAGTTGTCTCACGGAGGCTGGGAAAGTTTCAGCTCTCCCTCTGGTGGGGTGGGCTGGGGGTCCCCAGGGGAGCCGCCCGGGCTGCGCACTGGGTGAGGCGAGTCAGGGAAGGGAGAAGGTGCCCCTGTGACGGCTCTGTGCCCTTTTCCTCGTTCCTGGGCAGATAGGGCTGGAAGAGCAGCCCTGCGGAAGTGGCCTGGGTGGAGGGTGTTCTCTTTGTTTTGCAGGAACAGCAGGAAGCGCTCAGTGAGCTGCTGAATGGCACATTCTAGCAGGTCCACGGGTTGAAAACAACAACAGCACACGGTTCTCCATCGCCTTTAGCTTTTCCCATTGCTGCTGGTGTGGACCAGGAGGCCCCTTCTGTGGCCTTTGTCACGGCAGCTCTGGGGTATCCTGGAGGGACAGAGTGGGGTGGGCGCAAAGCCCAGCGAGCTGGGGCAGCTCTGGGCTGGACCCTCCCTGGGTGCTGGTGGGCTGACTGTGCTTGGACGCCTTGGGGGATGCCGTGCTTTGGTTTCCCGTGTAAAAAGGGACTTGTAGTCTGCACCCTCTTTGACCTATTTTAGCCACCCTTTGAAGTCACCAGTTTTGGTGAATCTGGTCTATGTCCGTGCACAAGTGTGGCCATCCACCCACTGTGCCCTCCACCCGTGCATTCACCGCGTCTCTCTTTCATCATCCTCTGCAGCCCTTTGGGACCCCTGCCTCTGCTCCGGTCCCTTCTCCCAGTCTCTACTCCACACACAGGTACCCACAGGGAACGTAGCGCTCTCCTTCCACGGACACGTGACTAGTACACGGCTGTACACACTGGGATACCGCGCACAGCATGAGTTTTAGAATCTAACCGCGTGTGTCAGAGGTCTCCTCGGGTACTGTAGGTGTAGCTCTGCTTCACTCTGCATCTATAGATTCCACAGCACCATCACTTTTGAACGCTCAGAACTGTACAGCTATTACTATGTGTCAAGCACCATTCCAAGTCATTAACGTGCATTAACCCATTTAAGGCCCCCAGTGGCCGTGAGAGGCAGGACCATTTCTACCTTAGGGCTGCAGAAGCTGAGCTGAAGGGAATACCGCTGTGAAGTGACAGAACCTGTACTTAAAGCCCCTGCAGCCTGGCTCTAAGACATGTCCAGCGAGTACTTTATACATTCTACTGTGCTGTACCGCAGCACCTAGCCCACGCGGTGCGTCATCGTGTACTATCACCCTACAACAGTGTTCTCTCCGTTTAGGTAGACCTGACTTAGCCCATTTCCTATCAATGGATTTTTACGTTTCAAACAACTTTTCTCTCCTGTGGGGGTTCTGGGACACTTAGTCATTGTACTGTCTTCTTGTTCGTATGGACAGATACGCTTCTGTGGCCCTTGTGCCATTGGAGTTGTGACTGGACACCGGGTCTGCGCGTCTCCCAGGGCGGTCCTGGCCGTGCTGCCCCCAGAGTGGCCGCACTTACAGCATTCTCTTCAGGTTGCAGTGTGAAGGGATTAGGGGGTTCTCGCCCTGTGCTTCAGACACTTGGGACCCTTCTCTCATATGGAAAAACAATTTGAAATTTCTATTGATTTTTCTGAGGTGTTTTTCCTTTCTGCTCACTCCTCTTATAAAGATACAAAGCAAGGACACAGAATTAAGGCCACTTAGACCGAATTATTGGCACCCTTTTTATAAGGAGAGAAGGGGAGAGTGCCGTGGAAGCTGCAGCCTCTGACCTGCTGCAGCTTGGAGAATTCAGCTGGAGATGGTTTAGGGTTTTGTTTTTGATGCCAGCGTGGGCCTTGTATCCCATGGAGCTGTGTGACCTT